GTAGGACAAAAAGGTGCTGTACTAGTGAGAGTGGTTACGGCGCTGAGGCCAAAGTGAGGACGGCGGCTGAAGGCCAACTGTTGTTACGGAAAAAACCCACTTGGCATTCACAAAGGCCAAGCTTAACGAAGCACTATAAATAAGAGAACGCCTGAATTGGATGCCGTCCCACCTGTCAAATGAAAGCAAAGACGCACTGCTGGGAGGCGCTTGAAGAAGTGGAAGGAAGGACTCAGATTCACTACAGGCCTAAACTTGACTGTTTTTCTCTCTCGTGGTCTTTGCAGCCTAAGGAGCGTGCACGCGTGTGACATACCTGCCCTGATCTCTGTGGCCATTTCTCCAGCAGCAGGCCATGGGAACGGAATCTGGCTGATTGAGGGAGTACACCTGCTTTTGCCGACGGCTCCTTGGGGTCAGAGAGGCGCGACGTTGATGTATAAAGTTGTTAGCAGATAGTTGCTTATTTGCACGTTCAGCAGTTATTTAACCTTCCTTCACAGATTTACTGTAGTCTTCTGTCACGCAGCAGATAGAATGTTATATCATCGCTCCTGCAAAGCAATTGTCATTTGATGTATTGATGGTAAAAAGAAGTTTTGCATGCAAACAATGAAATATGAGGCCTTAGATTCATTTATGTCCACTGTCCTGAAACCAGACACAGAACGTCTCTCTGAATGATTCATTGGTCATCATGATCTGTAAAAATGATACACAGACAAGCAGCCCGTTTTATACAAGCTTTATTTACAATGTAATTTCCACGTTTTGCACTGCAGGGAGCACCTTCAGGTCAACAGGTCCCGATCAGACGGATGCTGGATGGAATCCATCTCACTTGACACGAGTCTTATGATCATCTCATTCTCAAATAGCCCCACACTTCCTCTGGCGCCGCCACATGGAGTATGTACATAGTGTGTTTGTATACAAGCAATATAAAACTTGGCAAATGCTACTTCAATATGTAAAGAAAGGTTTTCCAAGGAGTAAAAAAATACAGCGAAAACATTGCATGCGTAGTGATATGAGGTTGACCTGTTAGCAGCCCGGTGTTGTTTGCTTCACCTCGTGTGTGGAAGAAGAAGTCACGCAACGCTCGGGAAAACCGGGTCCTCATTTTTAGTTTCGGCATGTTAGTGATACACCACATTATGATCAGGTTTTGAACACTGAAATATTCATTTTCCTGTCCTCAGAAATGAATACAAGGACATGTTTGGGGGTTATAGTAATGAACATTACATCAAAGTGTGACCTTTCCTTCTTTATTTTGAAGAAATTGGCATTAATGTGGTCCAAGAATGTCACAAACTAGCTGGTTTTCTCAGGTTATATTACAGTAATAATCCCCCCAGTATCTAATTATTTGCCAGTAATATACACGTAAAACGAAAAATTACAGGTGGTGACTTGATGGGGAATAAGAGACGACAACATAACAATTATTCCTCTCAGGGGGATATTAAATAGCAGAAAATGTTTCCAACATCTCTGGTTGGATTTTAAACAGATCAACCACAATGTGGATGTGTTCCATTATATACAGATTTCTCACCAAACCAATAACTCATGAGGACGGACGGTTAAGAGAGTTCTGTGTAATATAACTTACATCTGGATGTTAATGGCAAGTGGGTTTAAAAACATTTGGACAGAACCAAGTTGTGAACTAGACAAAACATTACGCCTTTACTTTGCAACTGAATTCATACTGCAAATACATCAAATTTGATCGAGATAAGTAAATAAAACGTCAGAGCTAACTAACATTTTTATTGCATTTACACGTACATGTCGAAAAGCTTATGAGCCGTTGTTGCAGTCGCTCAAAAACACTAATGATCTTTTCCAGGTTAACAGTAAATTCCCCAACAATTCAGTCAATTAAAAGTGTAAAAATGTGCTTTTTGTTCATGAGAAAAATGCCTTGTTTCCAACATGACACATTTTCTAAGAAACTGAGTTCCTTAAAATACTGGAAGTAAATGGAGCCTTAAGAGTTTTCTCCATTTTCCACTCGACACCGTTAATATAATAACCCGTGCGTTTCATTAGATGGAGACAAACACGGCACCATTTCCAACCATCTCCTCAATCGTTGCATAAGTATGTAACAGAATCTCAATGTCAAATGGAAACTCCATTGTAACTGTACAATTGCTGATAATACTACAGATGTAAAAAAAAAAAAAAAAAATCTGGGAACACTGCAACACTGCTGTACATGCGCTGAAAGAATAAATAAGCCTTTAAGATAAAATGCAGGGCATGAATTAAACCAAGGTTACACAATATTACATTTAGGAGTAAAAATAGGTCAACGTACAGTGAAGAAAAGCCCTCATTAAGCCTACAGTACTTAATGTGTGCATCGGAGATTAAAAGCTCACAAAATAAAACTGGTCTTTGAAAAGGTAGTATGATGTGGTAAAAGGTCTTCTTCGTTTTGTGTAGAATATTTCAAACAAAGGCACTAAAATTGGAGGATTCAACCATCTCTCTCTCTTTTGAAAAATGCACTTATGCCTATAATATGCATAAATCCTGAGCCCCAGCTCTCTCTCCCTGTAATAATCAACATACCCCTATTATGCTCGGAAAATAAAATGGAAATAAGACACACCGTGTGCAGAATGTCTTAAGTACGTTCAGCTTCCATTACTATTACTGATCGCCATCATTTGCCTCCTGTAGAACTCATTCTGCATTAACGCCTTATGTTAATGCCACATACACACACCTTTATTATATACTTTACTCATTAGATACTTTTGAAAAGTATTAAATAAAGGTTTGAGCACGGTCAACGGAATCCTTTAGGATTGTTGCCGTGGTTTTCCCTTCATACGTTTAAAAAAAATAATTAGCCCTTTCCGGACAACAAACTGAATGCACTGTACATGAGCCTGGGTGAGCGAATGTACGGCTTCTTTCTCGTATCGTTATAAGGAAATTATTAGATCAAATCAGCATGTTTTACTGTAAAACAATATATAAAACATGTAACAAAATGAACCATTTGCAGAGCTTCTTGCTTTTGGCTCAACTAGATTATTATTGGTTATTTGCTACTTAGACGTAACGTGGACAATATAGTAGTCAACTACAACCACTATATACATACTATACTGCATTGAATGATTTTATGGAGAAAAAGATGCTGCATGCACATTCAATTCCATTAAAAGAAATGTGAGTAGACTTAATGGGGGCTTTTATCCTGTATAAAAACAAATCTGTAACAATGTTATTCATTTTAAAAACACTTATTTTGCCATGCTACTTGATTGGCAGACAGCGCTGCTGCGCTCTGCCCCCCGTCTGTGTGTAACATGAATTGCACGGTAACAAACTGGATGCGGTGTGGGAGCACAAGCAGGCACGTCCACGGAGAAGTGAGTGGAGGGAGGAGAGGAGAGATGCCGGTGAGGAGAGAACTGAGACAAGTGACAAAGAGCAGGACAACATGAGAAGCAAAGAGCTGGATAGGTGGGAAAGGAGTTTAGTTCTTTTTTTTTTTTTTTCCTGGCCTCCTTGACGTTGTCTGGGGGTTGCAATGCACGACACGCTGCAGAGGGGTGTTAGTGCTCATGCTGTTACTGGTGCGCTGGTTATTCGCAGACTCAGTCATGCAGACAGTAGGCAGGCAGGTAGTTCATGCATGGTGCGCCTCAGTCTAGCCCAATCGGCAAGGGGCCGGGCCACTCAAGGCTTCGCCAGGTCATTGGTGAGCCGGTCATGCAGTGACATTGCTGTTGAGGGAGGAAAGGGAGAGAGACAAAGAGGTCAGACGGCGGGGTTCGTTAGCTTGAGATTCTGGCCTTGACCGAGACACACACACACACACACGAGCAAACGAACTGGGTGACACGCAAGGCTTTGAAAAGGTCTGTCAATGAGAGATCATTCGTAATGCGGCTTAAAACAATGATGATGTAAACAAAGTGGAACAACAGAGGGGTTAAAGAAAAGACTGGAACAGCAACAACGAGCATACCTAGTCGAGATTTGTGTTTCAAGTGACATTGGAGGCACTGTGCACTTCTCTGAACGCCTTAGACCTTGATGATTGCTATCAATCGATAGATTCTATAAGGATATGGAAGGTAGCCGACGGTCATCTCTTGAACGACTTATTAGCAGCAAGTGATCTGCAATCCGGATCCCTATCTCAGGATCTAGAACTGTCACGACTAGATTTTGCCCGTAACACATTCCCGTCTGTGCAGCGCTGTCGCCCTGACACTGGGTAGCATGTATCGGGGTGTGACACTATGGCACATGGGGTGTTGTCTGAGACGACCTGGTGGCGGCTGGCGAAGCTACGACTATCTGAACCGATTCATTCCGTTTGCTTGACGAGAGGCGTCTGAAGGACGACAATGAAAGCAAACAGTTACCTTATGTCTCATTGGGCTCATTCAGAAAGCAAATGGGACACCTGCATGAGATGAATATACATCTTCCTACATATTCGTTGCTCAATATTGCCTCTAAATTCAAAAATTAAATAGAATGACACGGCAGGACAGCCACTTAACACCGTTTGAAAAGAAATGAAAAAGATGACGCAGGACAGAGAGACTCAACTCCATTCAAAAAGGGAAAAAAAAAAAGACCTTGAGCGCTATGACGGGGAGGGATGTGTGTCAATACGGCACGAACGGGCTCGAGCGATTCCTCGAAACACAAATGGGCGAGAAGAAACTTGTCAAGAAGACGCAATTCCGCTCTGCCTTCGGGCCCACATTATTTGCCTGACGAGGTTTGCTCCCCCCTCCCCCCCAGAGTACAACTTAAGGACGGTCAGTGGTTGAAAGGGAGGTAGACAGGACGTTTGGGGCCACCGGTCAGACGCTATTGAATATATGCTGCGGTGCTAAAAGGGTTGAAGCCTGGCGTCTCAGAGCTGGGTAAAATATGCTGTGTGAGGGGGGGGGGGGAGGGGGCCGGGGAAGCGGTGGGATATTTTGGGCAGCCTTGACCTGGCATCTCTACCTCATGGATCTGATCAAAAAGGAAAAAAAAGGAAATCAATAGGCGGAATGCAGGAAAACAAGAACGTCCATTAGCGATAATTAGCGTGCCTTGAAGGAAAAAAAAGGCACGGGTGAGTTTGTTGCATTTTTTTCCCCGGGCCTCGCTGCCATCTACCTGGCGGTAGCTGGCTGGACGTGGCCTGGATAGGAGCGACGTGTGCTGGGTGGCTTGTCTCCTGCCGGGCCAGGAAGGACTGACCGGAACCGGTGTTGGCAAGTCTGTCTTCAGCCGCCTTCTTTTGTAGAGACATGCCCTGAGAAAAGAGACAGAGACAGTCTTACTGACGCCCACAATGGGACGGTGAGTAGATGGAGGATGAGCCAGTAAGTCACTCAGCTACCATCAGTGCAGTAATCCTGATGCAAGAGAAAGCAAATAACACAACATAAGGTCCTATTTAACAACTCGTGAACAAACAAAGGAGGAAGTGTCTTTATCTACAATAGAAAGGCGTATGCTGCCCTCTGGTGGTTGAAGCGCCCGCTTGCTGGACTTAAATAATGAAACAATTTCAGGCCAACTTCATAGAGGGTATTACAAAAAATACAGCATTAAGATGCGTATGGAATGCTATGTATAAGAATACGATTGGTTTAAAGTACCTCATTGTGAGGTAAAATGAGTTACAATGTGAGGTACATATTTGGGAAATAAAACATCAAAAAACCTCAAGATACCTCAAGAATTCTTCATAATAGAAGTTGGTAATTAGTGGTGTTGAGAAGAGACAGAGGGAGAGAAAGGCTTCGAGAAACGATTCCCTTCCTGATAACAAATCCCAGCTGTAGATCATTGTAAAAAAGTTCCTTCTCACCATGTTGTACCAGGCCGACACGATCAGTTTCTCCTCGTAATCTCTCTGGATTTTCGTCTTGTCCATCTCTTTCTGTTTGGCAGAAACATAAAACACACACATTTAGACATCTGTAAAGGGGACCGGTTCCTTTAACGGATCGTCCAACTCGAACATTTGATTACCTCTAATGAGTGCAACATCCTGTCCTTCTCCTGCAGCTGGTTCTTCAGGGCCTGGACTTCTGGACCTGAGCCCTGGTTCTGCTTGGGGTCGAGGGTCCGGATCACCTGCAGCAGACACGTTCCCATCACATCAAATACACTCTCTGGTTGACCCGCCTCGGCAAGCAGGCATCGCCGGCTACAATGCACCGTGCAGAAGATAAATATACTCACACTCTTGGCTTTTTCCAGGTATTTCTTGTATCTCTCCTCCATCTGCTTCATCTCTTCATCTTTCTTCTTGAGGGCGTCTTCCAGCTCCTCCACTAGTTGGGCTGAGAGGCAACAACATGAAACTTTACTTATTTATTTTTTAAGCCTTTTTGCTATGAGTAAACATTGACGAAATACAGGCTGTCTTGGTGATTCTGTAGCAGTTCTTCATATATTAAGATAAGAACAGCTGGGCGGAGAGGATGGCGGTCAACGGGCCTCAGCTGCACTTCGCACATTCAGAATCCAAACTCACAGCTTGCGTTGTATTTGGGCTCCATTTCATCGATGAAAGCGTTCTTCTTCAATAACTCATTGTTCAGCTCGCGTAGCTTCTCCCTGATGGAGGGAACAAAAGCACCAACGTCAACACTGTTTTTCCGCCTCAGCTCAAATATCTCACAGCAAGCATCCCGGAGGAGGATATTTGAAATGTATTCCAATCAACAAGTGTTTATTTGTTATCATATTTCTAGGTTTTTAAAAAACGGGAACTCACATGTGCTCCTCGTATTTCTTCTTCAGGATAGAAGACTGAATCAACAAAAATAAGATAGAGATAAAATAAGGTTATATTCCAACACGCACAACCTGCAGATATAAAATACAGTTAAAATAAAAAGTTTTAAACATTCAAAGAGACACAGAGTTGCATTAATCGGGCGGGAGATGAAATTATATTCTTGGTTGGATGATCAAGAATATTGACAATTTGGGGATTTGTGGTTTTATTTTCTTTGGTTCCATATGCATGGAAAGCACCACTGTCTGTGCAGCAACATCATGTGAGAGCAAAAACCTGCAGAGCATCTCGAAGCTCAAATTCAACGACTATCAAGTAAAGAAGTCTGGTTTCTAGAGAGGACACGCAGAGAAGACATCAAAGAGCTGATCACAGAAGCCTCTATTTCTAACAGGAAAAATAAGAACTGCAGAATCTCTGAACCTAGCTAGGAAAAGAAGGAACTACTACTTATGTGCAAGAAATCTAATAGTCAATTAATATGGTTTGTATACTATAGCGGCAGACAGTTTCAATGTCCTTGGGACTTGTTTCATGACATAAAAAAAAGCAAACATCTTGAAAGAACAAGGACGTAGAGAGGGAACTTGTGAGGAATCACAAAGTTATACTCACAATAGTCTGAGTGGAAGCATTATTTGAAAAGAAAATGCAAAAGTATTTTAATGAGAGGCTAAAATCATCCACAGGATAATCTGTCCAAGTGTCTTTTCCATGTTTGCAACCCACGTCCTCGAGTCATTACTACTTAGATGAATAAAAAAGGTCTTCCTAGATTGTTCCTCCAATATTGGCATATTTTTAAATAAACATATTTTCTTCTATTCTGTCAATTGCTTACTTGTTTTCATAAACTGTACTGCATCTAGAAACACTGAAAGTAAGTGGTCAAAGTACTTATGTAAGTGTTTTTGAGACGGTTAATTAGGTTAATTACACCAATCCGGCCTTTTTCCCCCGCTAATATTGCTTTTTAAATGAAAATATCAAAGCATCGATCCTCTGGGAGGATTTGTGTACTGCAGTCTGGTCAGACATCTTTGTTTTACTTTGTTTTGTTGTGCATTGCCAAAATGTCCTCTTATCAGTTACGCCTCCACAATGCGGAACAATCGTGTCGCTACTTACGTCGTCTGCCTTGGAACCCTGCTCTTGAAGATTCTTATGTAGCTCCTCTACCTGACTCTGCTCCTCCATCAGGCGCTGATTGATTAGTCTAAATGAAAAGCACAAACAGTCGACAAAAAGGTTCCAACCGGCTCCTGACTGAAATGTCATTGAGTGAAATCCCAGTATGGATGAAGAAGATCCCATTGGAGAAATAAATAAAGCCATCACAGGGAAAGCCAATAAAACTATATGAACACAACAAAAGATTCTCATCAGATTTCAAATATAAATGTGCACAGAAGGAGAAAATGTAAGAAGGTGTTTCACAGGAAAATAACAGAAAGAATTTAGCCTCCAGTGTGTCTTTGATTTTGCAGTTAATGCTACCGGATTACATTTCCACGCTCTCTGCGCACCTGTTTTCTGTCTCGAGCTCATTTTTTCTTCTGTTGGCATCCTCCAGGAGACTCTGCAACAGTGCAATCTTCTCATTGTCTGATCCCTCCTGGGCCAGCTTCAGCATCTTGTTCTCATGCTGGAGACGAATCAGATGTTCTCTGGAAAAACACATTGGACAAAAGCCTGTTTTAAATTCAAGCAACACACAAGAAAAAGTTGAAACAACCAATATAGATTTGTTTTTGTTTCGTCTTGTTAGAACACTTTTCTAGTATTCAGGCCTCACAAAGAGAGGGTGGAGCTAACATGCAAGGGGCCACCAGCCCATCAGGACTAACTTGAGAACAGATAAGATCTGTTATGTCTGTTGATAGCGTTGAGCACAGTCGCTCTCTGGTACCTTTGTTTTTTTTTTTTAGGGTGTGTCTGTAGCCGAACTGGCTAAAGGAAGGAAGCCGTGAGAAGAGGGTCCGATTCAGCGTCATGGGGAAACATTAAAGTGACAGGGCTGGGTTTCCTTTGGTGGCGTTTCCATTCCTACCCTCCAGCACATTGAGGAGGGATTAACTGAACTCCAGCTGTTGCTCTGGCTGTTTTAGAGTTTAGAGGAAGCCGACGGACGGAAACCAACCCCAGAAGCTGCTTATAAAAGCAACAGGTAGAATCGGTTTAACGGCACGGCCTGGTTCCGTACTCCCACTCACTGTCTGTCTGTCGGGTGCTGAGCTGACGATCACAAGCGAGTATGAATCATCAATTTTCTACTTCAACCGCAGTGGTTCTCTTTAGATATCTCACACGGAACACTGCTGTTGCAACATTCAACTTCCACCTCCGAAAGCTTTGCAGGATATGACATCACATGAGGCCACAGCAGTTCCATCCTACTTTGAGGGGAATAATTAGTCTGGGCTCAGTTTACTTAAGTAATGTTTCTTCCCCAAACATTAGTAGCTTAAAGTAAATCCATATTTATTTTGGTTCGCAGCATGCTGCTAGCACAATACCCAGCCCTCTTGGAAAGCAGCACACAGGCTGATGTAACTCACACGCAACCATTACGTAACTCGCTCCAGAGACCTTCTTCTGAAGCCAAAATCAGCCACCTGACAAACAGCAGCATCTCTCTTTTGCAGAGAAACACGGCCTCGTCCTCCCCACGTGCCTTCGTCATTTCAAGAATATATGTTACTCTATCAAAAGCCTGCACGTACCGAATCTCTGGGGTGGTGATCTCGGCGGCCAGCGAGTCGGAGCCGTCGTTGCTGACCATGGGGAACAGGCCTGGAACAAACGGAGAGTTCCGTGAATACGGGGTGAAGCCAAATATTTACTTGCATCTAGCCAGCCGTCCGATGTGTTCGTTCTACCCGATGTGAGCTGTCCCTCCTGGGCTTGGACGCAATGGAGCTCTTCAATGGTCTCCTTCAGGGAGTCTCTCTCCGTGCGCATACGCTGCAGGGGGAGGGAAGAGCGTGTGAAGTTTCAAAGTTATGTACAGCCGGTCTTCCTTTCCTCTTACTTGTAGGACAAAAGGATAAATGACAAAGAAAGGCTCTGGTTTTCATGCATCGGATTCCACGTAGAAAATCTAAGCGGGAAAATGTACAGTGGGACGTGCGGCTAAACAATACTGTGCCAGTTCTTATAATAATACACTTAATTGCACACACATCTTTTTCCTTTTGCAGAGAGTCCACTTTCTCTTTGACGCGTTTGTATTCAAACTCCATCTTGTCGGCCTTTTTAGACTCTTCCGACAGTCTGTTCTGAAGTTCCACCACCTGTGCAGAGAGAGGGCACATCATCTCTTAAAATATACATATAGTTAGCGTGCGAGTATTATATAATAACAGATTCGGGGTACGTGGCCAGTGGCGGTAGGTTACCTGTCTCTTGTATGTCTCCAGCTGTCCCTTGGTGGCATTCGCCTTCCGTAGCTCTTCTTCCAAACCGACGTTGCTCTGCATCAACACCGTGTTCTTCTCCTCCAAAAGCTTACTCTGGAAAAGAGAAACAGGAACGTCAACTTCATGCGCTTGCTACTTACTAGTTACAAATAGCGATTGGGGCTCATTGCAAACTAAAGGCATGAGGTCATTGCTGCAGTCTGTCCGTCCACCTGTCTCCTGAGGAGTCCCATGTCCTCCAGTTTCTTCTTGTAGTGTTCCACTGTGCCCTCCAGCTTTGACACTTTGTCCGACGAATGCCTGGGGAAGGAAAAAAGGCGCTTTCATCTTGTCATGTTACATTTACAGAGAAGAACGGAGGTGGGGGGGGTCTGAAATAACAGTATAGTGGTCCAACAACAACTAGTTGTCTTGCTTCATCTCTTCAAACCCTTTTTTCTGACTCATTTCATTTCCATTTGGCATCTCTTCACTGGTTGAGTTTAGTTTGCTTCACTCCGGCAATCACTGCGTGCTGAGAGCCAAGCTTTTTTTTTTTCGCATCGCCCTCTCACCGGAGGACATCCATCTCGTCCTTGAGAGACTGTGCTTCGTCGGCCAGAGACGCGAGCTCTTCGTTCTGCGACTTCACATCCGCAAGTTCCTTTTCCAGCTCTTCACAGCGGATCCGGTAGTCATCTTTTGATGCCTCCAACCTGGACGGAAATAGAAGTAATCATCTTTTTTTTTTAAAGTCCCATTTTTAGATCGCCAACACTTTAAATACGAGTGTCTCTCCTATCGACTGCGCACCTGAAGGTTTCTTCCTGTAGTTGCTCCAGTTGTGTCTGCAGCTGGAGGTGTCTGCGTCCTGCAGGGCTGTTTATGTCCTCTATGGAGTCGGAGTGGTTAAGTTTCTCCATCAGGAGCTGGTTTTCGGCGAGCAAACTGTTTTTTTCTTTTTGCAGCGCTGCCCCCTTTTGGAGAGGGGGGGGGGGGGGGGGGGACGGCGATCAGTGTAAATGTAACAAATTCTATACTGTAGCAACACTTCTGTTAATAAAGCAAGCACACATCAAAGACACTTTGACGAGGTAAAACCAACAAACTCCAACATGGCAAAGAGGGCTACATATGGTTTTATGTTGCCTTCTCCATGTGAAAGACAGGGTCTGAAACTCCACAAAAAGCAAAGCAGGAGCAGATTTGTGGTTCGACGTGTGACTCTATGATGGGGACTCATTACCAGGTCGGTCGCACCTCATAACAAAAGAACTGATTTTCAAACTGCTAAATCGCCCGGCATGAAAAGAAGTCTTAATTCCTTGATCACGATCACGTCAACAGCCGATGTACAGTTTGACTTTCCGTTGACATACTGGCTGTGACTGCTGTGTTAAAAACGTTAACTAAGGGTAAAATGTATCAGAAAGATTTATGTGAAGTGTCCTTGGAGAAGTAGCACAATGCAACATGACTATTTCCCATCAAGCTTGGATCAGGAGAAAAACAAAAAAAATCCTAAAAAGCATCACAGAACAATAATAGATTTGAGATTTATTCAACATTTTTGCCCCTTCGCGTGTCTCCCTCTTACTGTTTCCAATGGCTGTGGCAGAGCCATGGAACACACAGGGGTAAAAAGGCAACGCATAATCAGTGAGGTCACACAGGACGCACGCACACCGAACATGGCCAGTGTGCCCCACGAGGACCATGTGTATAGGTGTGCACACACACACACACATGCACGGATAATTAGTAGGAGGGGGATCTGGGTTCCAAAGGGGATGCTGATGCAAGCAGACTGAAAAAACAAACCCAGTGCTGTTGTACACACACACACGCACACACATCATGGATGGAAAAAAGCGAGACGGAAAGAAAAGAAAAGTTTGGATTTACCCTCTCTTCTAGCTCATTAAACTCTAACTTGAGTCTATCACGCTCCTCTTGGACATGGAGGGCCTTTAAAGCAAGGCACAGAGTGATGGAACAGTCAGGAAATAAGGAGGAGGAGGTAACTGTTTACATTACAGCTCCATTTGTTTTTGCATTGCTGTGCCTGTAGTAGTGTAGTAGTGTAAATTGTGATCTTCCGCTATCGAGAAAGATACATGAGGCCGGTTTATCTCTTTTTGCAACACGTTATCACGATAGGATGAGTGAGTAGGATTCGAAATCTAACAAGGGAACGTTAAAATAAGCAAGTATAGGAAAGTACAATCAGATGTGTTAAAAGGGAGCTGCTATTAAAGTGTAAACAAAACATAGCTGTGAGAAGTACGGCACAATCAGGTAAGATATTAAAAACGGTTACAAAAATAAATAAATAAAAGTTTTAAGTTAGTTCATTTCACGCATACTTTGAATAGTTACTGTACCCGAGCGCTCACTCATCTTTTCAGTTTAAAACTTATCGTCATTCCACAAATTGTCATAGGCCAGAAAGTCCTCTCCTAATGACCAGCCGCATATAAAAATGTTATCCAACACTGTCAACTATTCACCCACTCATTTAGTAAAAGTGTGCCACTGTGACAACTGACAGATTCCCAGGCCGCCCGCTGGCGTCTTTCAGGTTAGGAGATCCAGACACGTGATAGAAGCACCTGAACACTGTGACGATGCCAAACGCTACCGGTGAATAAAACCCACCTGCATGTCAAGCTCACGACACCTCTGGGAAATCTCTTCCTTGGTAGACAAAGCATCATTCAGCTCCTCTGCCGTCTTCTTCAGCTGAGAAACAAAAGGATTTTTTTTTATTTATTCTAATTTCCACACAATGTTTTATCTACATGGATGAGGCCACAGACCAAAACATGTTTAACCTCGGGGAGCTGCTGGTTGAAGGGCTAAATACTGCACCCCAAATAACAGGGTGCTTGTACACAGTAACGGTGGCACAACAGCACAGCTGCACTTCTGTGTTCACAGTGTAGCTTTGTGAGCTATCCAGCGGTTTTACAGGTCTGCGACCAAAAGGAGGAGCCTCGAACATCTGTTTGAGGCAGAGATCTGGGTCAAGTTTAGGGTTGAGCACGTTCCCTGTGCTGGCTTTGGTGTCTGCGTGCGAGCATGTTCAATTATTTACCTAAAAGTCTATTCAATACAAAACAGTTGCATGTAAACTTTAAATCCGTCTCACCTGAGACCACTTTGTCGGCACGGTTACAACACACGCAATAAAACGCCCCGCAGTCGGGCTTTACAGTCTCCATACCTGTCTGTCTAGATCCACATATGAGTCATTTCCGCCCGGCACTGGAGTCTCTTTACTCATCAGCTGCAGAAAGACAACACACACACACACACACACACACACACACACACACACACACGGGTTACAAGTTGGACAAAGTTGAGTGTACACAGCACAAACCTGTTACAACATAGCTCAGCAACGACGACATCCAGCCTGCAGCAGTCCCTTCATCCATCCCGATCCCTCCCCAAATCACAAATCAATAATTGTTAAAGAACAGCCCGACAGCTCACCTCTTGGATAGCCGTCATGACGACGTGCTGCACCGACTCCTCCATCATCATAATGGTCTGGATGTATTCTAGGGAAAGAGACAAAATAATTGGGGTGAACCCAAGCCCCCTGAGGCTGCTGGGGACGCGACATCACCGCTTCTTTAAGCGCCGCGCCGCTCGCGTGTACCTTGTTTCTGTTCACAGTTGACAGCACAGCCCAGGATAAGTTGAAGCATCCTCCCGAGCTCCGCCGGATCAGAGTGTTCCCCGATGAGGTTGACGTCTGGTAGAGTGAAGTCGTTGATGTGCTGGCCTAGGATCTAGAAGAGAAGAATTATTTGCATGGCCTGTGTTGAATTAAAGGATTACGGGTAGTTTTTACAGTCACCATTTTACCGTAGCAGCAACACATCGGCTTATGAAATGTGGATTGTGGGAACTGATCAACTCAAAATAAACACAGTAGATCCTTCTTACCTCCTGGTTATAGTCTAGGACGCCTTTTAGAACTTTCTTCAGATTGCTGATCTGAAACGAGAGATAACGTATGGAGCGGCATCCCGTCAACATTAGAAATACCAACATAACTATACAGTGGGACATTGTCATTTTGTCAATAAATCGCTTTTTCATTCAAACTTGGAAGGTCTGCTATGACGTTCGCCAAGAAAAAATAAATCGCATTAAGTATTCTTACCTTTAACCTCCAGTTGTCTCCGACCTCTGGTTTGACTCTGCTAATCCAAACGTCATCGAAATACACAGCATCTCTGGAGAATGAGACGAGAGATTAGGGCTTAAGGGACCTTCAATGAGTCCAAGTTGAATCTTTTCCATAGATTTATTAGTGAGAATTACATTTACGGTACAATACCGCAGACAAGGAAGGATTTTTAGACACCAAACACTCACATTTTCTGTAGAGCCTGAGCCATGACGATACCGCTCGTCAAGTCTTCTACTTTCTTGCATGGAGCCTCCACTCCAAACGTCTGGATCTAAACCACAAAGAGACGTGCGCGTGTTAAGGGTGAAGCATGGAGCGACGCAGGCGGAGTCAACAAACATTTGACATGTTATGAAGTTCCGAAAACTGTCTCATGATGGTGTCATTTCCACAGTGGCTCATTGAGGCCGGAGTGGAGGTCACAAGTGCTCCGCCTTCATCGGCTCCATTTCTTTTTTTGATCGAGCTCTTTGTTTTCTCACTTGGCGAGCTGTTGTCTTTCATTTCCTTCTTTAACCACTTCTCCTCCAGGCTCAACGTCTGTCGCCCAGACGTATTTCTCCGTCCACGTGCCAAAGTCTGTCTGGAATTCTGACGACGCGGTTTAAATTATTATTTTTTTTTAACAGTCTGCCAGCAGGTCGTTCCGCTGCTCTCAAATTTCCGCCAAAGTGGCCGAACATGCGGCTCTCGGGCCCTCGGCCGCAGATTGTAACAAGAGCACAGGGCAGCAAACTAAATACGCCGTCTGAGGAAAACTCCTCTCAACACGCGGGTTAAGTCCCTGATGAAGGGCTCCACGTGAGCCGCCAGCATCGATGCAATCGGATCAGGTTTCGGCACCGTCATCGCATGGAACTGAATCAAATGTCTTATGCAACATCTTACTGTGAAAGGCAGCTACAGGTGTTTGGAACGCGCCATTTGCTTGGTGTTGTCCCGACTAATATTAAACAGCTGGCAGTAGAAGGTTTATCTTAAAATAAATATGATGCAAGAGATGATGCATCTATAAATACTGTGTGGCTGTGATGGGGATATATTTTTGGACACATTTGAAATGGAAAAGGGAATTTGTCCTATTGCTTTTTTTCATTCATTCTGTAACATGTGATCATGAGGTATAGGACACAAAGCAACACATAAGAGCCCTATAAAGTCCCTTATTAGCGGAGACAGAGGTCAGTAAACAAGACATTTGACACTGTTTGCAATCAAGGACACACTTTACATGGAACGGGGTCAACGTGACACTCACAACAACAAATACACAATCAGTTGATCGTGTTTTTATGTTCCTGTGGTTTTAGACAGCGGTTTGTCCTTTAGATTCACGGTTGAACATTTGGTGTTAAATCCGTGCGGAACTGTGAACATTAAAGAGGATTTGCTCGCCCACATTTTTATATTGTGTAAAACTAAATAAATTACGAAAAAACAATTTAAAATATACCCAAAAAGGGGGATAAGATCGACATATTCGAGCCTCCATGTTTTTTAAACTTGTAAAATCCATAAAATATGGCAGCTTTCGAATGACTGACATGTCAACAAGATGACACCCGCCTGCACCTGATCTAAAAACATCTGTATCATCATCCCTTCTTCCCAGGTAACCAAGCACCCATGAGTTGGCTTCAAGGCCCGCGGTGAGGTCCAACACATGGGGGTCCGTCATAATGGCGGACTAACTGACCGCCGACACGGCATCCCCTGTGACGGTGCCCCGTTTCTGCGCCCTGCTCTATTGTCACCAAGCAGAAACGGGTCCTTGTTGCCTCCGCTCACACACGCTTGACCGAACGAACCCGCGGTGTGCATGCATACATGCATACATACCACCGGAATACAAAGCCTCTGACACAGAATGTACGCCCATGTGACATCGCCTGAAAAGGCGACAGCGGAGCGGTGCTGCAGAGTTCCTTTATGCCGTGCAGGACATTGTGCTCGGCACCGGCCATCTGCGACAGACGACTCCGATAGCGGACGGCACCAGGAAGTGTGGTCTTAGAAGTTCTTCGTCTGGGTCACACTCGACACGTCGAATGCTGATCAGGAATCAGCTATAGACGTGGCCAGAACAGTCCATTGGATATTAAGCTAAATGTATTGTATGTATGCCGACTAGGTATGATATTTGTTCTCATACCTGGTGTTTAAGAGAAGGGAACAAAACAACACTTTACGTGCGTCACATATGTATGTATGCGAATTTGCATTATTATTATAAGATTATTGCGAAACTTTTTATAAACCGCTGACAACCACTTCTGCTTAAAGTCTTCGTGTAGCGTTTACAGAAATACCCATCAGAGCCAGCAGCTGTACATACAACACAAAGCAGGTTGAGCAGAATATAAACACGAAAGACGGTGTACTAATTCATTTGCACCCTTACGGTCATGTTAATGCCCAATCTCTGTGTGTGACGATTTTAAAAAACAATTCATCTGGGTAGAAAGCATCATGTGTTCTGAGGGATTTTGAGGTTCTGGTTCAGCGAGATTTGCTCATGTTCCCAGATTAGTCGGTCTGCTTTGATCACGTCATCCACAGCAGTCTGGTAAGAGCGTAGATAGAAGAGCATACCTGAGCTTAACTGATCGAAGCGCACGAGGCCTAAACAACTTCATGCAGCCAGAGCTTCACTGAGAGCGGCCTTTCCCACAACATTGGCCTTTCTTTGTTACACAAACAGGAACGGCAATTCTGACTAATGTCACAAAGGAAGCGCACACCTAGAACTTTGTGGAAACAGCTGGAGAGGAGACCGTCCAGCTGTGGAAAATACGCGTGTCGACTCACATGACTTGGCCAAGTGATCGTAACAGATACTCTTCCCTCTAAAAATGAAATTGTCCATAATTACGTCTCATCATACAGCTTATTGGTCAACTCTTTATTTTGAATTTGATGCAACAACACACACAGCGCCACACATGGCAACCCTGCAAACAAGACGAAGTGTTTTCAGCTACATGAGGACGTGTTAGAAAGACCAGTGCATCACGTCTGTGAGCGGTAAGCAGACATAATTCTATCTTAGCTGTGCTTCTACACGGCATTCGGATCTATTGGAACTTCTTAAATGCAGCTATTAATACATCTTGTGGAATTACAGATTTTAGCAACTGAACCGCTAAAGAGATTTAATGCAGCTCGGGCCAGAGAGCAGCTCTGCTGGACTCATTTTCTATGTTTATGCGTGTTAAATAAAGGGCATGGAATGAGGCATCTTGTTTCCAAGCAACTACAATGTGATGAGACATCGTGTGATCACTTGAACAACATTATCGTTTCAGACAAACAAACATCAGCTAAATAATATGACTGACAGCGTCAACGATGAACCATCCGTCTGATGAGAGCTTGTTATATTTTCCACACTGGTAGCATGGAATACTTCATGCTTTAGAGGCGTAAAAAACAACATCTTAAATTAGGGGAAAGATAATTAGCATTCGAAAAGTGACAGCTTGCCAGTACGTCATTTAAACTGCTTTTTATGTGACAGCACATCACATTATGTTCCTGGACACGGCAGTCATTACTTTGGCGTTCGAACCAGACTGACTGCAATCATAAACACGCTGACTTCTTTTATTTCTGTTGTTAAAGTGTTTGCTGCTAGAAATGGTGTCATAAATCACCCACTACTTCATCCAGCGTGCCTTCGATTACACCTCCTGCACTTCTTCCAATCCCCATTGTGGAAACGTTTAAAAAAAGAAAGGTGCTTTAGTAACACTTGGTCACACTCTGTGCTGTGATTTCACAGTTAACAAGTATGTGAGGAATGTTTACCAGCCACGTCACTCCTGGGAGAAGGAAGAAGGGCAATCCGGAGTTGGTACACCAGAAAGCCCATCCACGATGAGACAACAAGAGATCAGAGCCCAATGTGCATGTAGCATGTTATGTATGATTATGTGACATGTGAAGGGATCACGTGACTACATAGGAGGCTAGATCCCGTCTGAGCTCCTGCTAGAACCAGCTGTACGTGGACGTTTCCAGGATCCACTGCCGACATTTAAGCCAGCAGTCTGCGGTGAAAACAAGCAGATTTGCATTAAATGACACGTGGGTCGGTTTCTGTGCACACCGAGGCATCAGAAATGTGTGATCGGTTAACGTAATACGGCCGTTTTGCTTGTCAAACATGTCGACGTAACAGGCAAGAGATTCACGACCTCTCTTGAGATGCGCGTTGTTGTCAACAGTGCGATCATCCTCCAATCCCCCATCGGACCGCTGGTCGGGTTTTTATTATTGTCTAGAAATACGAAGTGCAACGTGAGCCTCTTTTGGGCATCTCTTATCCCGGGGAATGAGCAATGAGAGATCGGACATAATGACACGTTGGGTCAAAGACGGCAGGAATTTCAGACTAATTGCAGACCCCGCGCTCAATCCGGAGGAGGACAAAAAAACAACAACAACAAAAAGACTCCGCTAATTTAGCGCCGAACCGCAACAAGGCCGACGCTGCTGCCGCTCGATCCACCGCCGTTTAACCGAGAGGGAATTAACGTTAGAACCCTGAGCTAGCCGAGCACCCGAATGGACCAAACCGGTGTTCAAGGGCGGGAGGGGGGAGGGGGAGAGAGAGAGAGAGAGAGAGAGAGAGACGGTCTTCCTGGCAGCTAGCGAGTAACACATCAGCAGCTAAAAGCGGTGAAACAGCTGGCCTGTGTACGTAACGAACGCGAGCCTGCGTGTTTCCCTTTAGCCTGCTAACGTTGGATCACCGAGCTAGACGTACCGTTAGCATCGTATGCTAGCTAGCATCCCGGCGGCGCAGGAGAACTGTCAGTTACAAAAAATAACACCCCTCCTTCCCGCCCCGAACATCATATTTGATCACCTACCCATGTCAAGAGGCTTTCACAGAGTTCCATTCGATCCAAGGACCCCGATGTAGTCATCGTTAACTAACGTAAAGCGGCTTTGCGCGGTGAACAGAGCCTGAAGTTAACAGTCGGCTTCATGTAACGTTACTCCCGATATTCCTCAGTCGCGTCGGCCAATAGTTGGGTTCGTTGGGTTGCAGGTCCGGCGTGTGCCGGAGGAGGTCTGGGGTGGGCGGAGTCTCCTGTTAAAGCCCAGTGTTAAAGAAAAAAACCCGATCCATTATGTAAAATGGAGAACTTCTGAAGATGGGTAGAAACATGAAGCTGTGTGTTGACGTTTAATTTGCTGCCACCTTCGAAGGAGAACATATAGACCTCTGCTGGCTGGGCTGGGTGATAAAATGTGGAAATAACCTTTGGGCCGATTTGGGTTTATTGTGCCTTTCCGAAGCATTGCCGAGCTCATGTTTATGTATTTATGAAAACATTTCTATTCAGACAACTGTGCTCTGTCGGAAGTTCAAAAAAAGGGCATTCCGGTCATGTTGAGTTGTGGCTCCCATTGACATCTATGGTGGCTCCCAGGTAGTGAGCTACACAGGAAATAGACTTCAGTGTTTCTCCTACCAACATATCAGCGCCCCCCCCCCAAAGTTGTAAACCTGAACACTGGACGTACAGCTGAAACGGAAGTGGCCTACGGTATTAATAGCAGTCTTGTCTGCACCCATTCATCGAGCAGCATCAGAACAGAGTTTGGGAAAATGCACAGCAGACGAAGAAAGTCTGAGAAGTCTGTAAAAACCCTGTCATTTTGTATGAAAGGATACGTGCAACAGTGCGAGATATAACATCGACAGGAGTCAGTCATAAGGGCTCATAGGGGGAAATTCCGATGCAGTCTGCGACAACGGACGGACGCGACACCAGTAGCCACATTATTTTACTCTCACCTAACCAGTTCTTTGCTGGAGATGAGCAGAAGCATTTACAAAAACGAAAGGGTGGCGGTTGCTCAAACACTCCTGAGACAAACTGGAGGACACATGAATCAGTAAGAACCATGAAAAGGCAAGACGACGCCTGGCATGTGTCACACCTTCCAACTAGGACATTCCCAAGAAGACACGTGATGTGCATTTCACTGATAATTCGACACACAAGCCATGATTGCAGTCGCTTCATCTACCCTTCGTGGACACGAATAAGGAATGTGCTTGTTCAGCATCTAGAGCCTCAAGAGAGCAAATGTCCTGGATACAGTTTCAGTTGCCACTCTGAAGCAGCCATTTTCAGGAGGGTCACGGTCCCCCAATGGAGCCACAGTAAATTCAGCCTGCCAGAGAAAGCTGGAGAGGACTGGGACACATTGCTCCAACCTTAAGATTGATTCAAGAGGTCACGTGGCAAAAAGGTTGAGAAGGAGAAGTGCAGCTCTACCGTTAGCAGGCAGAAGACCAGCATTGTTTGGCAAAAAATGTTAACCGCAAAAAGAGAAATTAACTGACTCACATATTGCTCTTTAATTTAATTTTGAAGTATTAATTATATTTTTAATTTACCAACAGGTCACAAATGAAGAAGCTGTTCATCTAAGACTCAGCCTGTATATTCTGTACAGAAGACATAAACAATTATCTTAAAGTGGCAAAGTAAGCTCACATTCAACAGGACCTATAATTATTCCCTCACACCTTCTTTCGATTGTGAAAACTACTTTTCATTTCTAGGTCTGATTGTCATGTGAATCCTCAGATTATAAGAACACATTTAGATCTGAGCAATAAATGTAAACTGTCGGAAGCAGAATGATTAAGGGATTTTCTCACAGGCATGAAAAGCTCCTTCTTTGTTGTCATTATGAATATGCATAGTCACCAATAACTTAAATAAATGCACCCTCAGTTTAATGGACCCAACAGGCTGAGACAGCCACAGCAAGTTGCTTCTACGCTCAACAATCTCAATGCATGACAGCCAACTTTAAATGCATAGAATGAAGATACTGCAAATAATACAGGACATTCAACACCACGTTGTTACACAGTTGTCTTCGTTATGTTCATGCACATAAACCAAATAACTGCCAATGCTGTCAAAATCGACTGGACAGGGAGCCCCTCAAGTCATTGAATGGACTAAAACGATGTCCCGGACTACTGCAGAGTGAGTCTAATAGGTCTCATAATGTATTGTCGTTCCTCATGATGTAATTCAATCTACGAACTGTTAATGGTGAGTGCCATCTACAGAGTGAACATTCACACCTCATTTCCTTTGCTGACCCCACGTTAGTGATGAACTGAGAACTCGGGATTCAACGTAAACCTCCCGAGAGATCCGGCATTATTGATTGACTTGTGTTCTTCAAGTCAGTCTTAAACCATCCACCCCCGATGGCGTGTTCACTCCTCCCGAGCCCGAGACGAGCGAGCAGAGTCCTCTTGTGTGTGAACCTCTAGCCATTCAGCCTCTGTGTAACCACCTCTCTGTACATGATAGAGATGTACACGAACAGAAGCAGGATCACAAAGAAGTCGTCCATAAATCCCAGCAGACCAAACAGGGCCTCGGGGATGATGTCGAGCGGCGAGGCCAGGTAGGTGATTGCTCCCACAAGGCAGAGGAGAATTCGAATCCTGAACATCCAGAAGAGGCCGCCCACGGAGAACATCTCCCTGAAGGCATGACGAAGCAGGGTGGGCACATCTCGCAGCCTGTCCATAAACTGAGGAGACAATATATATGATGAGTTCCATATTACTCCCCTGATTATAATGCACTGCACAAGTGAGTATCTTATATGCGTACTAGCATCTCATGCCACCTTTGTTGTAACACTCAAAAGCAGCGTAACAGATACTGCTTTTAACATTATTGAATTACTTTTACAGGGCGACATAATGTAGCATTTTAGACTTGTTTCTATTTTAAAATGTGCTGCTAATCACACACACATGTAAACATTTACATTTTTCACAATTTACTTGAAAGTCAATACAGTATTGTAGCAGTGGTACACTCACAGATCTTGGCTGGCCTGAGAACCTGCGGTTGTAATCGTTAACGTCTGTGAGGATCAGCTGAGGCTCGGCCCCCCCGTCCTGGACCCTTTGAGGATTGGTGTGCTCGTGGAACAGCGGGAACAGCAAAGTTACCTAGGCAGGAGGGAGGAAAATAAATCGAGTGGCAATACTGATGCCAAAAACAAATTGTGTGCCGCACACTTATATGAATACAAATAACTGAACCAGGAGAGTAACACTTTATATAATTTTACAATAGCAAATGAAAAAAATATATATATTGAAAATTAGATATAGTACTACCAAGACACAAAAAGTTTGTAATAGATTAGAATTAGAATGGAATCAAGAAATTATAATATGAAAGTTGAGGTTAATCATTGTACTCTTAATATTTATTATAAGTCTCACCATTTGTCTGCATATGGGGCAGTTAATAGCACCGAGCCATGTGCCATACCTCCAGTAGGCTATAATGCAAGATCCTATGCAGAAAAGAGGGTGACACTTAACAACTTGGAAGCACAAATTATTCTATTAAAAATAACATTGGGACTTCTGCATATTATCTAAAGGAATGTCAGTATGGGCTGACAGAATACAGGCAAATACACCCAATTACCAATTTGAGTCTTACCGCAGAAAAGATGTCCGCAATTGGTTTCCACAGGCAGAACTGCCTGCTGCAAACACACAGGACAAGACATGTCTGTGTAATACTGCTGCCTGTCCTCTGCCTGAGAGTTTTCATCCTGACAAAAAGAAATCGAATGAATTAAAAACAAAATACAAAAGTTACATACCATGGAGAACACAAATTAAAAAGATGTACAAAAAGAAATTTCAAAAACATCATTGAAATGTGTAGAACTTAGGGTTAGGGTTAGGGTGTTTCTTAAGTAGTTTTAGTGTTGCTCGCTCTCTGTTAGCCGTGTTTTGGCGGAGAGGCCAGCGTCGTGTTTGTCGGTCTACCTGCTCGGTTTGGAGCTGTTGTCGGACGGCTCGAACGTGCTCCTGATTCTCAGGGTGAATGTTCTGCTGCTCTTGTCTGCAAGAAGGTAAAAAAAAGGGCAGCTATTTTACAGCTGAAGTGAATTAGTTTAACGGCACATTAAGCTATGCGTACGGAGGAGAACGTTTGTATTTCAAAGATTATTTAGAAAGCGAACACATGCGTCAAAGAAACGCACTACTAAGCCTGCTTTACAGATCACTGTAGTTTGAATTGTGGAAAGACTTGCAACAGGGAGGGAAGCTGTGGACAGAAGGTCTCTTATGCAAGACTGGGCAAGAAGAAAAACGTTGGTGTTTTGGTGGCACGTACTTACTGGTCACATTGTACCAGATTAGGTAACTACAATTGCAGTAATCCTCCTTTTCTAAAAAAAGAAAAGAAAAAGAATACAGATATTTGTATATGGATTTACCTGCAGAGCAAAGTGAGGAGGCCTGCGAGGAAGCTGATAGTTAGCACCACGACCAATAAGACCGAGTTGCTAACTCCTTCGATCAGGGTAAACTCATCTTGGATCAGGTGGTCCAAGTCCCCACATTGACTGTCCTCCATCACCCACACTCATAGCCTACAACACTAGAGAAAAAGTGGGGCGGGTTAGGTGCAATAAATCAATGTCCTTTAGTAACAGAAGGTATTTAATTATTACAATGTCTAATATAAACAACATAAATAATCGAAACCTTTGAGACTTGAACATTTTCACTGTTTACAGAATATGTTCAGTAAAGCGTGACATTTTGCAGTTATTTATCTAATCGATTAGCGGCATTTCCGTACGTCACATTTCCAATGGCACTCGTCATCCAATCTGGTGCCAGAAATCACCAGATGTTTAGGACCCTGCTGTTGTTTACTTTTTCTGTCACTGTACTCACACCTGCTAATTAGCCACGTAGCGTCGAGTAGGCGGGGATCGCTCATAAAACCCCTTGTAATTCATTCATAAATGTATTTATGAATATATATTTACGCTATGGCGCCACGTAGCTCGGCTCTCTGAAGGCACATCTACCCCCCCGGCGTGGATGATGAAACATCGATGAAATGCAAATGTCTGGTCAACACAATCCGAGCTCAACCTCGCGCGCAGGTGGTCAACTGTTAACCCGTAAACGCGGTTAGCTTAACGGCTACTGTTGCTCGGTTAACCGGGAGGTGGAGGGGGGGTGGTCGGGTTCATCGAGTCCAACGGGTCCAGCACCGCCGCCGAAAAAGTCACCGTTTAACACAACCGAGTCGATACGGAATATAAAGTTACGTTACGTGAGTGCGCGACAAGAGTACGACGATGACGAGTCCCGTTTATACGGCTCAACTCACCGGAGCCCCGGGACGCTTCCTTAACCATCCAGGCCGGATGGAGCTCGGCGAGTTACTGTATCGGGAATAAGAAATGATTTTGCTGACGAGTTTGGTTTTGGTTTGTATGGTACGAGCAGGTGTGCAGCAGCCCTGCATGCTGGTGTGTTGTGTTGTGTCAGTTCGTCTCTTCCTCCTCTTCTTCTTCTTCTTCTTCTTCTTCGTATCTTACGTGTCGCCATGGCGCCCCCGAGGCGGTAGGTGGCAGCACTGAGTGGTTTGAACGTCCCCGCAAGAGCAGGAGAGCAAGACGTGCTAACGCGTCCGCGCATAACACAGTTACCCGTAACTGTAGCTAATAAAACTATTTTTAATTTGATTGCAACACCTTCTGTTTGAGGCGAAATGCCTCGGTTTGCGCAGCTGGTGATGGGTCCGGCCGGCAGCGGCAAGGTAAGTCATCACGTGCGTAAAACGCCTTGTTATGCCATGCGGCTAAAGCAATGTGCTAAGGCATGAGGTTGTCTTTTTAATTATTATTTTTTTTATTTCAGAGTACCTATTGCTCCACCATGGTGCAGCATTTAGGGACCCTCAACCGCTCGGCTCAGGTGGTCAACCTGGATCCAGCAGCTGAGCACTTTGACTACCCCGTCATGGCAGGTGAATGCAGCGTGTTTTGATAGTTTTTACATCCTCATCACCCTGCGAAAGTAACATATTAACTCAATGAAAATATCCAGCACGAATAGGTTACACAATATAGAACCAAAGAAAAGTGTTAATTCCAGATGGACGGGTGGTTGTTATAAATGAGTGTGTTCCCCATGCTGCACACCAACGCAGTCCTCCAGGACGCAGTCTGATCTCACATGGTCAATCTTGACAAGTTAAGTCAATCAAGTGGTTAGTGGGCTTATTTGAATGTAATTACCTGACGAAAAGGGATTCCTTCTGCGCCGGGCAGCACAGCGTTAGTACACGTACGTCCCCAGTAACATGCTAAGCTTTCTTACTTACTTACCATTTCAGTATACTTACAGCAAGAACTTGATTTGTTCGACAATCTTCGCTGTTTCTATGTCCGCAGACATCCGTGAGCTCATTCAGGTGGATGACGTCATGGAGGATCCCTCGCTCAGGTTTGGCCCTAACGGAGGCCTGGTCTTCTGCATGGAGTACTTTGCCAACAACTTTGACTGGCTAGATGAAAGCCTGGGTCACGTAGAAGATGACTACATCCTCTTTGACTGCCCAGGTAAACGCCTCAGCAGATGTGAATGCTTTAATGGGGGGTGAGATGGGATGACGTGTGTCTTTGTTAACACATGTTGAAGTAACTATGGTAAGAATATAAAATGATGAGTGACTGTCGGCAAAGTATAGACATAGGATTGTCACACTTTGGATGATGATTTTACAGCTCTGGCAACATTTTGTGGATTCTTTCTCAGGTCAGATTGAACTTTATACACACCTCCCTGTAATGAAGCAGCTGGTGGAACAGCTCCAGCAGCGGGAGTTTCGGGTGTGTGGGGTCTTTCTGGTTGACTCCCAGTTCATGGTGGAGTCTTTTAAGGTAACAAGGCAGTCTCGAGGGGCTTCATCTGTTTATTTTGTTCATTGCTGTGCCTGAACATGGGGTGCACTTAATGTTGTGATGAAAGCGATGGTCTCACATCTTCCCTCCTCTCCACATGCAGTTCATCTCAGGAGTCATGGCCGCCCTGAGTGCCATGGTGTTGTTAGAGATCCCTCAAATAAACATCATGACCAAAATGGACCTGCTGAGTCCCAAAGCCAAGAAGGAGATTGAGAAGTAAGTGCTGTAGGAGTTTGGGAAAAAAACAAAAAACATGTGCCATGTTTCACGTGAAGTTTCCTAAAGAATACTGTTGCTACTAAGACACAAAAAAGGAAGGGTCATCGCAAATTAAATGTTTCACAGAATTGTTTCAACGGTATTTTTTGTAAGTTAGTAAAAAAATAATCTTTTTTGTGATTTTGTTTTTTTTACTAGATACCTGGACCCAGACATGTACGCAATGATGGAAGATAACTCTGATAACATCAGAAGCAAAAAGTTCCAGAGTCTGACTAAAGCCATTTGTGGTCTGGTAAGTAAAGGCCTTCATTTAATATAGCATGTATTTCTGCATCAGAATTTCAAAAAAATGTTTTTGTCTGTTGGTCCAGATTGATGACTACAGTATGGTGAGATTCATGCCTTTTGACCGCACAGATGAGGAAGGGGTTAACATGGTACTGCAAAATATTGACTTCTCAATTCAGTATGGAGAGGACCTTGAATTTAAGGAGCCAAAGGTGAAGAAACAAACAAACACAACAAAACCTAATCGAAAGAGGAGTGATGCCAATTATTATGCATTCATTATTCATGTTTGGTTTCTACAGGAGGTTGATGACGATTCTGGTGACTTAAATTATGATGAGGCTTTTCAAGACAAAGTGGACAGCTGAAGAGTGACTCCAGGAATTCTGCAAACTGGACTAGAGTTGTAAAAGAAGAAAAAAAAATCATTGAAGGCCTACAAAGAACCAGGATATATTCTATCAACTCCAGCTGGCGCATAGCGTGAGAATACAAGGACAAGCAGAACGCCACATGTGTGTGGAAAAGACTGACAAAAGATCCCAAATACCTTGTATCATGTATGTTCATAAGTATTTGTTCTTGTCCTTTTCGAATATATTTGGGATTTGAACCCATTTGTGTTTCATTATTTCTGGGCCATATTCAGTTTTAAGGACTTGTAAGTAAATACATATTTAGTTATGCTATATTTTTTAAAATAAAATATCACATTTAAAACCTACAATTTGACTTCCTGTGTGGGGAAAGCGCAGCGCTGGCGCCTCCGTGTGGCCGCTACGCCACATGACGCGTGGCCACTTCCTGTAAAGCCGAAGGGTGGGACAAGCGGAAGCTGGGTCCTACCGAGCTAGCAGTTTTCTCTCCGCCGAGCAGCAGGACCGATTATCATCACTCAACATGCCGGTGAGTGAATTCTACGCGGTTGTTGACCCACAGGAGACTGCGCGGTGCGCGTTTGAGACGAAATGAACGCACGTAAACTGTTTGTCACCGAGAGCCTCCTTTGAGTTCGCGTCAAATGCGTTTGACGGGTCTCGTCGGCTAACGGTAGCTACGTTAGCATCTGCGCGCGACGTCAGTTGTGGATGTTTTTGACGTGTCTGAAATCACACATTCCCCGCTGTACATTTGCGTTGGTGTCGCAGTAGCACATACGGATAGAGCCGTAGCAGATATGTTACCAAAGCTAACCAAACGTATTAGCGTTAGCAATAAACCAAATCAACTTTTTCCCTTTTTTTTGTTTGTTAAGGCGTATCACTCAAGTCTGATGGTCCCGGAAACCAGGCTGGTGGGGAACATGGCTCTGCTGCCTCTCAAAACCCAGTTCAAGGGACCCGCCAGAGGAGACGGTGAGGCCGTGCGGCGGTATTGACACCAAACGGATCCCCCCTCTTGATTCCAGAAACACTTCGATTAGCTACTGTAGTGTGATAACTTTTTATTGTGACTAGTTCCTGATTCATGGATCAGCTTCACCTCCATATATGGGCTGACGAGTGCACTCGTCGGGTCGAACTTCTCCATTCGTGTCTTCCGGCCGGTCACTGTGCCGCTCCGATCGTGCAGACGGGCTGCAGCGATTCACACGTATCTGTCACGGTGTGATGCAGCACAGTGGGGGGAAATAAGTGCCTGATTCAGATCATGCATTTGTGTTGTCTGTTTTGTTTCACAAATCACTGAATAGCTGGAGACGACTTCGCATTGATTATCATAGTTGGACAACACTTATTTCATATAAACATTCATCGTATGAATCTATTTGAGTGCCTTTTATCCTGATGCCCCTTTTTTCTTCCTATTTCAGGTGCAGAGTCCGACATCATTGATGAGGCAATCTACTACTTCAAGGCCAATGTTTTCTTTAAGAATTATGAAATCAAGGTAAGTCGTGGACTGTAGCATTTTTTTACAGTCTTAACAAATGTAACAAAATAAGAACATGTAGTTTTAGAAAGTTGCCTGTGAGTACCTCACTAGTCTGCCTGTTGCTGTTTTACTTTACCGTCTGTCTTGAAGCAGCTGTGCATTTTGGTTCCTCCACATGCCCCAGCTCGCTTCTCCGCCCACCCTCCTCTGCAATGCATATTTGTGTTTGAATTTTAAACTATTGGTGTCAGTCACTGTTCAGACCTGGTTGGAACTCTACTCGTTTTAACAACGTTCATGCTTTAGTGCGGTTTGTTGTTTTCAGAATGAGGCGGACAGGACGCTGATCTACGTCACACTGTACATCTCTGAATGCCTGAAGAGGCTACAGAAGGTAAATTGCATATTTATTCCTGTACAAAATGGATTGTGTTAAATCCATACTTTACACTGGTTTTATAACATTGGCAGCATCCATTTAAAGGATTGTATCACTCAGGGTTTTCGAGGCGATCTAGCTAACCCTCTGCATTGGTGTGTTTGGTTGCCGTTTGCAGTGCAGCTCCAGGAGCCAGGGGGAGAAGGAGATGTACACGCTCGGCATCACTAACTTCCCCATTCCTGGAGAGCCTGGCTTTCCTCTCAATGCCATGTATGTCAAGCCTGCAAACAAGCAAGAGGACGGTAAGAAGCAGCCCCGACGATGAAATCTACTGTTCTCTTCCTCCCCTCTCCAGTGTAGAGACTGTATCCTTTGTTTTTCTGGAACATTTTAAAAAGGTCATCAACTAGATCCTACGATCCTCTTTCCCAGTTTTGATGTGGCTGTAGCGAAAGAAATGATAAGTTAGCGTGTGTCAGCCATCGGTGGCTGGGATTATAATACTGGCTGTGCCTCCTTTTCCAGAGACCATGAGAGCGTACCTGCAGCAGATCCGCCAGGAGACCGGCCTGAGGCTATGTGATCGCGTGTTTGATCCCCAGACAGACAAACCCAGCAAGGTGAGGCCGATAAAGCTCTACAGCCTTATGCACGTTTATGTGTAGGAGAAATCCAGAAAAGCTATAGGTGCTCCTCCAGGGCCACGGAGCAATCATGTAGCACATCCACTATCAATGTCATCTCGATCAACAAAGTACAGGAACTACGTTTGAGTTGTTGCGCTGTGGTTTTGTGCGACATCCTTCCCCACCCAGGCGCTTTTCTTGTAACAAGCTCATCTTTGTTTTTCAGTGGTGGGTGTGCTTTGTCAAAAGGCAGTTCATGAACAAAAGCCTCTCCGCTCCTGGACAGTGATGGACTCACTCCATTTCTATTCTACGCCTGCGAGATGGATGGATTTCTTTTTGTGTGGGGTGGATGTCTGCTCCTATGTTAAATGATTTTTTTATAATCTTTGAGTTCAAGGATATCTCTTCACATTTTCAGATGTTGACCATATTGAGCTGGTGCTTAATTTAATAAAGCAATCATGGATAATTATGTGGTACTTTTGTTCCTCACACATCTGGGGACTTGTGATCAAAAGGTCTGGATGCAGTTAAATTAAATCTGAAAAAAAGATTTCACGACTTAAGCTGAAGAAGTTTTATAGTGGAGGGGTAGAAATATTTCACCAATCACACTCGCATGTCCACAATAAGGTTTATTACTATCATTCACAGCATACCTGTTCAAATGGTTCCCATACAAATTGCAGTTTTTTTACTGTACAGCTCCATTATGTCACTTGATCAGCAAACCATTGTGTTGTTTGTATAGCCAATTACTACTGTAGACATTTTGACTTGTAATAAAGTGGCTACATTCTGTTCAGGTGCAAAGCAAACGTTAAGAGTACGTTGTACAAGCACCCTGAAACTGGAGCAGCTAAACGGAATCAAGCCACTTAATTCTGATATTCTCCTGTGACGCGTCAGAATGTCTTCTGTAAAAATGCCTCGTTCAAGCGCTACTGTACAATATCAACATCGCGCCTCTCACAGGCAAGGTGAGTGACTTCTCTGTACACGTGCAGTGTTCAAAGGCGCATTGACAGTTTATCAAAGCAAGGACAATATTTTAAGAGGTAAAAAGGGAGCATGTTCTTTAAAATATATATACATATGTATGTATATATATTTTGAATCTGTATTCTCTTTGGTTTGTCCATGAGTTGTTTGATTCAGTCCTTGTTGAAGATGCGTTTCCTGTGCTGGCAGTCGACGTTAAGGCAGCGCTGGCTGATGAGTTTGCCCATCGGGGAGAGAAGGATCATTTTCTCTGCAGAAACACTTAGGGTGTGCAGTAAAACGAGAGCCAGTGGGACTGCAAAATTGCATATTCAATTAAAACTGCTGTGCACTGGATGGCTCAGAGTGGCAGGTTGAAAATGAACAAACAAAAACTCTGTTACAGATGATTTGCATCTTAAAAACAGCCACACTCTAAATAAATAGGTCAATATAAATGTAAACTAAATAACAAAATCATGCATTTATCGAAGGAGATTTCTCCTAAAAATGTATGTACATGAGAGAAAGTAGGAGTCAAATGTGAATGCTGGACCAGAAGGAGCCTGGTGTAATGATGGTGGAAAATGTTACTTTTGGCTGAATAAATGCCTCTGCTATTCAGCATAATTCATGAATATCAAACTGCAAGACACAAATTAGTAAAGAAATATGGTACTTTTTCCTGCGAGTCTTTTCTTTTTCTTGTCGGGGTGACTAGTTGATGGCCCCATGGTCCTCTAGCCAAGTAAAGTGTAACCCGTTGTCAAATCCCCTCTGCAGTTCCAATCTGAAACAAAAGGAACATCTAGGATTAAATCTACAGCACTTCGGTTGTGTGGTTTCACAAGGAAAGACGTCCCGTGGAGGAGCAGCAATAGGAACGGTCCCGTCAGGTGATCCTGACAGGTGGTGGTACTTACCGAAGGGGATGGCTGGAGTAAGGGCCTCAGTCATAAGCCATCTCTTGACTCCTCCGCACACATCGCGCCACCTTTTTCTTAAAAACTCCTTTAGGATCCTCCCGCCACTCTTTCTGCAAGATAGAAAAACACTCCAACAATCACCTTGGTGTGACCATTACTCCTTGACTCCTAACCCATTCTAGGGACTTCTTGGACACACATTTATCACAAAAAAAAAGGACCCAACACGGCTCAACAGTAAACGCTTTACTTCATTTCACACTTGAATTTGAGGTGTTGCCCTTTTCTGTTTCAAGGCAGCCCTCTGAATAAAGACATGACTCTATTTGACCCAACAAGGGACTCAACCTGGCCTTGATAGGCAGCGAATGCTTGGGTCAGTATCGTACACTGGTGAAAATAACAGTGGTTTCTCTCTCCATGGACATACATACGTGTTTTAATATACTTATATGTTTAGATGATTAATTGTTTCTTGTATATTTGTATCTTATATTGCACCAGGTCAAACTCCTCTATGTGTAACATATGTGCCAATAAATGGCTTCGGCTTCAAGTCTTCAAACTGACCCCAGAGCATTCTCAGGAGACACCGCGGGAACTTACGGCTGCGTCTACGTTGGCAGGAGAGTCTCCATTTGGATCGGCCAGCATGGAGATGACACTGATCATGATGGTCTCCACTGTATGGATTGGCAGCCAGCGCTCCTCAGGCTTCTCGTAGCCATACTTGTCCTCGCCAGGTTCATGCAGGATGGATATGCAGACATCTCCATTTTTTGCCACTGGTAAAAAACAACAATACAGATTACAGACACGGAGGGCTGGGGGCAATAATTCAATTTTAAAAAGTATTTAATTCATAGGAGTATTAAAAAAAAAAAAAAAACAGGATTTGCAATTAGGTCATTCTTTTGACTTTATAGTGAATCACCCAAAAAGGTGCTATGGTTATCTATATATACTTTTTTCTATAGTTAAATGAAATTGTCTAGAACAGGATTGTAGATTTAGGCTCGTACTAAATCAGAAGATTGGGTCCCATAGTGCAGCTCTCCCACCAAACACATTTAATCACAGCTACTGGGAGGGACTGTTGTCTACAAGCACCTTTACCATAGAAGTCTAGCAGAAAACTCACATCAGCTAGTAGCCACTGTTTAAGTATTACATTAAAATACAGAGAATGTAGTCCTTCATCAAGTGAACGGACTAAATTCTCCACACACTTACGCTGAGGGCCGAAATGGTTGACATGAAGTACTTTCTTTGACCCGGATTAACTAGAGTTGCCTGGTAAACCCGTTCTTACCGTTTGGATGCCAGATTTCTGAGACAAACCTCATCTTGGGGGGCCTCAGGGGGTAGTCACGTGGGAACGTTAAGGTGGCTTTGAAGAACCCTCCTTCACTACAAACAGAGGATAGCGTTAATATGTCGACCCGGACATCTAAAAAGAGGGGAAGCGAGTCCACCGGTTAATGATTTTCTCTCACAAGATCGTGTCTTGAGGTCCAATGACCACCACTTCCCACTGATAGATGTCATCGTCATCTACGAGGCCGGCAGAGAAGCCCTCCACGGGGTTCTTGTTGAGCTCTGAGGGGGTAAATTGCAATCAGCCTGATGATGTCATCTTAAACGGGTTCAGAATGCGGGGTTACGTCACAGCGGGAGGATCGACACGAGGAGCGGAGCGATCAAATGCGTTTATACGCTTAGCTACCAATCCAATCTATTGAAAATGAGTAGTACTAAGTGGGGTTAAGTGGCCCTGATCGGCCGGCGAGACGACGCCCAGCGGGGCGCAGTAGCGGCCGTTAGTGGCCTGCGCGCGGTCGTTCAGCGACCCCCACTCCCCGGTTATTGAGCAACAACTAGCCGGCCACATCGCCTCTAAAAACAGCTGTCCGGTTTCCGTCTGTAACGTCAGCTCTAGCCCCGCCTGTGCGGAGGAACATAAACTAATCGCAGAGAAAACAAACCCCGTGGGCTTGTGAGAGTGACGTTAGTAACGTTCACAGCTCGGTAGCGACAGTTAGCCAACTTACCTGCTAATTGTTTACGTAGCAACAACGAGGAGCGTTCCGTCATTTTGGAGCTACTGCGTTACCGTTCCCAACTACGTCACTCGTTTTTGTCGACACCAACTGATTGTCAAGCTGTCAACGCGGCTGAATGTGACATTGAGTGAGGCTAACACACCGTCCACGTTTTCTCATCTGCCTCTGTGGTCAAGACGGATAAATAACATGAGTCAAACAAACCAAAAGAAAAATGGTGAGAGAATATTTGTGTTATTATTTCCCTCGGTTTTATCTGTCAGGTAGGCCTCTTCCTGGATGCGTTGCGTTCTCTATGGGTTTCAAATCATTCAAATGTAACGTCACACCAACAGCTGTCGCTGATATATGTGTTTTTTAATGAATTATTTACAATGTATTACTAATAAAACGTAAAGTGTTCTGCCTGTAATGTCGAATTGAGGGCACATCCTATCCCTGATCACATTTTCTTCTTCATGTAGATTCGCAGCGGTTAATGGCACCGTTGGCACATTACTGCCCCCTGCCGATTAAAATGCATATCACACGTTTTCCTTTTGCACCCTGAAGTTTACACCTGCGCAGAAGATGCACAAGGGGCCAAAAGTTAAAACTACACTGAAATGATCAATTATTTCCAATGTTAGCTTTATTCCTGTCGATGTGAAGAGGCCCGACCTCCACTCTACCCGAAAACTTTTATATGATCTGGAAAGCCAACTCAAATGCATCTGTTATTCACCAACAGCAAGGATTTATAGCATAATGCTGTTGTGGCTAAGTGGAAGCACAGCCCTGAGCTCAACTTTATGTAGTTTATAATTTATTTATAAGTTTTAATTGAGCCTTGCTTTGATATACGAGTCTTAATTATATTTATTACTTAATCACTTAGATACAGAATGTGTCCCATGCTGAAACACTGACATTCCCTACGCTCTCCTTTACCAAATTATTCTACCATCTATGTGATATTTCCTCTCCTCCTCCATTTTTTTTAGATATCTCCAAGGCAGCTTCAAATCCACATCATCTCACTCTATTCTTCACCTGCTACAGCCACAACATCTTAGACTAATGGTTCGCCAATCTCGAAAATTACAAAAGCACTCCTTGTATTCACTCAATTCATTGGCACTAAAGGCACGAAAACGTCTTCAGGATTGACCAATTGTCGCCTGCTAGTACTGTAAGTGCATCTGTCGAATGAAATACCTGTAATTGTGTTATTCATCTTACTCTGGTGAAAACTAAGGCAGCAGCCTTTTACAGATAACCATTTGTGGTTGATATCTAGCATTGAAAATAGGCACTTCTCATTTGTGCTTTTTTTAAAGATCTGGTGATCATTGAAATTTGGCCAGAAAACTGTCACATTTCTAACATGTCTACACGTCTTTGTCTTGAGCTCATTTGTATCCTGACAGACATCGTGACGTGCTTCTTGCGTCCCCTGGAAAAGTATTCCTTCATGTATATTTGTTCAAAACTCCTCAACTACTTCAGGAACTTCTCTGTTGCCTCAAACAGCACTACGTTGTCTTGGGTCTTTGACTCACATTGTTTTTGCCCACAGGCACTCATGATAAATGTAGGGAAAATACAGCATTCTCATCCAATATGTACCACGGGGGCAGGGGGAGTTCTATTTGGGTTGGTTTTAAGGGTGGCGTTTCCATTCAAGCCCACAGATCCTGCTGTCAAGCTACGTTTTTCAAAAAGCCTTTTTTGCATATGATTGTTGCCACATTCCCCCCATCATCTTGCATCACTCCAGACTACGGGAACTGTCAAGATTTGAAAGAGGACAAAGGTGTGTGTATCATTTTTTTCTATTTGGTGAGCATGAGGCATTCAGGGAAGTTGACACTTGCTGGTTTGGTGGAATCTTTAAAAACAGAACCAATACTTTTACAAATTGTCAGATGAAACAAAAACCCATTTAAAACACGCATTTATCTTTCACAAAAAGGCCATTTGGGTAGTGACCGAAAGACAGAGGTAGTAGATACTAGCAGCTAACATGAGTTTATTTAGTAAGGTGGGTGGGCCTACTCTGTCATCCAGAGGACACTTAGGTTGTTTGGTCATGGGGAAGCTCTAGTCACCTTCGTGTTGGAGGTTTTGAAGGCACGTCCATCTATTCGGAGACCATGGGTCGTCTCTGAATAATGCAATGGTGCTTTTAAATGCTGTGTAAATCACAAAGCAGTGAAATAGCACATCACTGTTAAAAAATACTGCCTGCATTTGCCTTTTGTGTGCACATAAACTCCAAAACCACAGGAAGAAAAGAGCCAGAGCCACAGCCAGTGGCTAATAGAAAGTGATTTGTTCCATTGATTAGAACTGTCTCATTGGTGCTCCGAAGTCGAAACCGCATCGGACAATACAATTGATACTCTTTCAAAGGAGACAAGGAAGAGGTTGCTGATGCGCAACTCTTTTCTTGAGAATTAATGATAAAATGGAATCTTAGACACCTTTTAAAAATGGCTCAAAAAGGCCACACCAAACAATGATTGAGTTGTAACTTTGGAAGCGAGAAACCTGGAAATCTGATTTGTATATTTCCCCTAAAAATAGAAAGGTCTAATGAGAAAAAAGATCAAGCGGGAGACTGAGATGTGCTCTGAGAAAATAAATGCATTGTTTGTGTTTGTAAGGGTTAAGGGTGATTCCTTACCCGCTTAAAAACACAATATTTTGGTCAGGCGTGAGTAACCTGAATACACATGGAGCGCCTGACTCTCTAAACTGAATGAGTAATGCTGTAATGTCGCAAATATTTAATGCCAATACAAGTTTGAGCCTCGGGCAATGCTCTATAATACATAGTCCAGGTGGACCAAGACTTTCTTGCTACTCAACACGAAAATATGATCAATTCAACTAAATTCCATTCATGCTGAATTCCATTCATTTTGTATAGCCCAAAATTGCAAATGACAAATTTGTCTCAGGGGGCTTCACAGTCTGTACACATGCAACATTCTCTGTCCCAAAACCCTCACATCGGCACAGGAAAAACTCCCCAAAAAATGAAAAACCCTTCTATGGGGCGAAAAAGGGAAGAAACCGTAAAGGAAGAACGTTGGAGGAGGGATCCCTCTCCTGGGATGGACAGGCAGGAGTCAGGACCCGGGTCCAGACGGAGACCTGCAAGGTGAGAAAGCACCAAAACTCGTGATGTGCCTTAATGAGATGTGAATTATTATAGCAAGAGAGAGGGAAAGTCCCCCGGCACTCTGGGCCTACAGCAGCTTATCTAAGGGCTGGTCCACACTAACCTGAGCCAGCCCTAACTAATAAGCCTTATCAAAGAGGAAAGTCTTAAGCTTTATCTTGTCTTATTGTGTCTGCCGCCCGGACTGAAGGTGGAAGCTGGTTCCACAAAAGAGGAGCTTGACAACTGAAGGCCCAACAACAAGTAAGCCAGCATCAATTCAATTCATTTTATTTTGTATAGCCCACAACCAATTACAGTACAAGAGGGTTAGAGAAAAAACAATGTATAATACATTCCATTCCAATGACAGAAATGATTCAAATAATAGTGAGAAGCAAGCCAGGCGCACAGCAGGACCACTGCAGGGACAACCACCGTCACATAGAACCACCGTCCACAGAAGCAATCGTGATGATGCATCAAAAGCTCAGCTACTTGTAAACCTGAGTCAGAATGAACATCATCCTGTCACAATTCATCTGCTCGTTTCTCTGAGTTTGTTCATGCCTACAGTGATCAAAAGCTGTTTGGGAAATGTTACGCCCAAATGTGCCGACGACGTCACTGTAGTCTTTAATTCAGACTCCTTCATACTTGTCTTGCAAACGCTTGTTTTACACTCTCTGCTGCTCGTTTTTGGGGGGGGACTTGATGGATCTAGATGCTACTGCTTCAGATGGTACTTTCCCCTTGGATGACTTGTAAAAGGGACAATTTCCACTTGTCATGGAACTACAAAATAGCAAGGCGGTAGAAGGCCATTGTCATGGTGCTAAAGCAATTAGTAGAAAGTTGTTACTGTTGAACTGGAGGCCAGTGGGATTATTGGCTCTCTGGGGACTGTGACCGTCGTAAAAAAGGGTCACAACAACAACAACAACAACAACTTGCAGCCTGAAACCAACGGCGCCTTGAACTGTGTGCACCAACAGAGATTGTGCGCTCATCTCCATCTGTTTTTTCTTTTTTTTCTTTCTTCATTGTGTCAGAAATCTGCAGTCTGAAGTCTGCAGCACAATATTCAGGCAGCAGCAGTAGCAGCAGGAAAAACTATTGATTTGAGTGACTTTCTAACCTTTCCTCCAGCAGTGTTTGTCAAACGTATCCACAAGTGCTGCAGTTTCTTTGCTCAGGAGTCCCAATTAATGGCTTGACTGTTTCTGGCCAGCCAATAAGAACACCATTAAAGTATGTTTCAGTAGACATCCATGAAGGTACATCTCTAGAATAAGGTGATTCATGTAGACTTCCCTCTGGAGCGATTTGATTTCAACTCCTGTTCATCCCTTTTTTTTGTTTTCTTTGCTAAGGACCCAAAGCTGCACTCCTTGTTTGTAGCACATTACGTCACTACGGGGCTCAGCGAAGGAAAGGGCTGCATGCCGTGGAAGTGTTTCAATGTTTCACCACTATTGAGAGAGACGTAGAGGTGGATTGTAGCTTTCACTTTATTTTATACAAACAATGTCACAAGAGGTTCACACAAAAGCTTCTTTAACATAAGCTCAGATTTGATTACAGATACAAACATAACAGCCATTACTCAAGCTTTTTTAATTACACCGGCTGAAGTAAAGACTATTAATGTTATGCAATATTAAAAAAATGAGAAATTACACACACTGTATATGTCAAATTCATTATTCCATTAATTATAGGTGATTGCACGTAGCCCACCTGACCACTCGAGCCCCTGCAAAGAAAATAATTATGTCTGGGAATAGGCAGTCATGTTTTTTTATGTTTTTGCCACAGAATTTACTTCAAAAGAAAAGGGGATTAATATTAATAACACAAAAAAAACTGTTGTGATATGAGGGAAACCAGTGATGTAGAATTGTTATAATATATAGATGTATGAGAAGAAGAAGACAATGAGGAGTAAAAAGAAACTTTAAAAGCTCTAGTGCAGCATATACGCTGTAGGTAGACATTATCTTCCAATAGATGGCAGTGTGACTCACATTTTAAATAGAAGGCTTCAAATATGGATGAGTCTAATTGCAACTTTGGTTGTTTGAATAGTTTCACAGT